GTCTGTCTGTCTGTCTGTCTGTCTGTCTGTCTGTCTGTCTGTCTGTCTGTCTGTCTGTCTGTCTGTCGACAGAGAGCAGCCAGCACCTCTCTCCAAGGCTGAAGGTCAACAGACGATCATGCTAAGCTTGCTAACAGCTCCACCCTCTGACTAGAGAGTCGTTAACCAATATGCAAATTAGCCTGCAGTACCACTGCTCCACCCATATGAGCAGTAAAAACACGTTTTTAGACCAAATATTACAGATTTCAACAAAAACATCAAAATTAGCACAGAAACAGTACTATATAACATTTTAGACACATTCTAGACAGTTTATCAGCTAAAAAAAAGTTAATTTTGGGGTAACTTACTCTTTAAAGAAGTTTGTATACATGAAAATAAAAATGTTCTGATAACAGTGTACCTGCATTCTAGTGAAAGTTTGCATATGTTTCTGAGGGAGGGACAAACAGTCCACCCAGTGGATTCTAGCAAATGAGTAAATTTATTTTAGAGACTTATTTTAATGCTATCTATTGTGAAGGACATCATTTACCAAGTAAAACAGGTCAGTTTTTTCCAGTTCATGCTGTTTTTAATGTACACTTAAGAAAATAGAGCATAAAACTGCACCAAGAGAAATGTCTAATTCCATTATTGTGGCCAAGTTCAACAGTTCTGTGGAGTGATATGTGTGCATTTAACTTACCGTACATATATTTTTAGTATAAAAGCAAAGATTAGTTTACTTTCATTAAAATAACACAGCCTAACCTTGGTTAATAATTACCAGATTGTAGAACTATAAGCCTCACAACATTAGAGCTCACATTGATTACAAATATTTGTCAAAAATAAATATCAAAAGATACATGTTTGTCTACTTTAAGCACAAATAATTTGATTACATTAAAATTACAGCCATTTTTTTTAAAACCTCATATGACAAATAATAGAAAAAATAAAGTTAAACAGAGGAAAAGTTTGAGGAAAACATCTGATAAGACCTTAAAGAGATAATCTGGTCGTATCTGAACTGAGGTTCTGTCAGATAGTTACTAATGACAACTATTTGACAGAACAACACTTTAAAAATTGCCAAATTATTCCTTTAAACGAAAAGCTGAATTTTCTGTTCCTCACAAACTCCCAGTAATTATATGCAGATCAGACAGTGGGTCGACTGCAGCTACACTTTTGAAGGTAGGTTCCTCAGGGCAGTGTGCTCGGTTCACTTCAGCTTCAGCAGGTGAACATACCAATCCTTATTTTTCCAGCTGACCACATCCTCCCTGAAGTGTGACATGTTCAAACATGCTTTTTCTTCCTAGCAAAAGAGAAACCGGGGGGGGGGGGGGGGGGGGGGGAAGGT